AATGTAAATTGTACAAATAATTCAGGAAAATTGACATTATTTACTAAAGTTGAACATAGGTCCATCCCTTGACCCACCAATTCTATTCCTATACATATCTCCATTGGAATATACAAAACAGTAGAATTATTTGTAGTAGCTCCAAACAGGCCACAACTTCAATGATCTTTGACATCAGGATTAAATGGAGTAATAAATTATGGTTTTTTAATAAAATGGAATACTACTCATCAGTGGCTATGAATTAGTTGCAGTGACTTTTATTACAAAAAACATACTGTGAGCAAAATAAGCTAAATACTAAAAATATGTGTTACATAATTATATATATTTAGTATTGAAAGCCAGGAAAAGCATTTTAAGGAGTTTGAAACTAGGGTGATGATTATCTTTGAGTTATTTGGAGAGAGCATGAATGAAATAATGTTCTGTTATGAATTATGGTTACCTGGAGATGCTCACATTGAACTGTACTTTTATCACCATTTTCTGTACCAATTTTATATTTTAGTAAACATTGAATATTGCATTTATTGTCAAATGAAAGATATTGTGACACAACAAAGCTAGCAACATCACAATATGAACAGTAATCTACAATTTTCCACAGAAACAATTGCTTCTATATATACATATTTGCTTGCATATACATGATGCAAATGGTAGAACATATTCAGATCTCTGAAGGATATAACAGAAACTGGTGGGGTTGTGGTGTGTAGAGCACATGGTTAACATGCATGAAGTCCCCAGTACAGAAAGAAAAAAATGGTAACAGTGCTCAAGAGAACCAGATCATTAGCTGACAGTGATGTGAAAGAGATTTACTTTTCATTAGTTGTCTTTCCTATCTTAAAAGTTGTGTATTTGGCTCAATCCCCAGCACCACACACACACACACACGCAGACACACAAAGTTGTGTATCTGGGCTGGGTGCTGTGGCACATGCCTGTAATCCCAGTGATTTCGGAGGTAAAGGCAGGATAACTGCAAGTTCAAAGACAGCCTCAGCAACTTAGTAAGACTCTAAGCAACTTAGTAAGATGCTGTCTCAAAATAAAATAAATAAGTAAATAAAAGGGTTGGGGATGATGCTCAGTGGTTAAGCACCCTTTGTTCAAGCCTTACTACAAAAAAATTGCATATTCAGAACTGGTATGGGGTCATGTGTCACAAAATTAAGCTTTTATCTCTGTATTTGGCCAAAATAAACTATTCAGCTTTGTATTTGAAATCCCAAAACTTGTATATGATTAATAATTATGTGAACTCATGGGTATAATTATATCTATCAAATGTAACTATTAATACAATCAAAGACTTTTCAGGATTTATTGTTAATATCCACATACTCATTTCCTGTTTAGGTAAAAATCTAGAGTCTACTTGAGATGAGAAATATCTTTACATGTTTTATATGTTGCCAGTTAATTTTCATTATTGCAGTGAAAATTGCTATAATAATTGACTGTGAAAGCTGTTAGTGTCATATACAGAAACAAGTACTTTCATAAATTTAAAAAAACAGGGAAAGTTCTGGATACAGTGATTAAACCATTGATATGAATGTATACCTAATAGGTAAGAAATACTAAATGAGTGAAATAATGACAACAATAAGAAATAATTGCAAATCATTATGTGTTATAAAGATTAAAGACTGTTTTCCTATAAAATTTCACTTGGACCCTAGTGTAGATGGAACATTCTGAGAAGGCCTCTCTTTTTCTTTAGTTGGAGATGGATGAAATACCTTTATTTTATTTATTCATTTTTATGTGGTGCTGAGGATTGAACTCAGTGCCTCACACATACTAGACAAGCGCTCTAGTGCTAGGTAAGCTGTTTACTACTGAGCCACAACCCCAGCCTGAGAAGGTCTCTTTGAATAGGGTCATTAGTGGGGCCTTAGCTTACTAAGAATTAAAATGAAGGAATTAAACATGAGATGGGTTGTACATGGGTGTGCATACTCGCATGCAAGTGTGTTTTATGCTTGGGAAGGCCCTGAGGTGAGAAAGACTGTGGCACTCTTCAGGACCTGAAAGAAGGTTAGTATAGTTGGGCATTGTGAGAGGTGAAGAGTGGTATGGTTGTCAGTTTTTGGCTTGCAAATAAACAGATTCTGTGGCTGAATTAAGACAGAGGTTACTAAAGGGTTAGAATTCTTGCACACATGATTGCCAGGAGGGCTGGAGAAATAGGTATGGGGTATGTGGTCTATATATCCACTAAATTTGGGCCTCAGAACTGGTCCAGTGCGGGCATGTTGCTGACACTGCTAACAATCTGAACTTCTGGAACTCCTTCAGCAATCACATCTCTGCAGTGGGTGAGTTAAATGGGCAAATTCCAGGTCTGTGCCTGCACATTTACTGCAAAAAAGACTGGGAAATGACAATATTGGTATAGCTTCCTTAACACAGACTGAAAAAGAGTGACTTAACAAGCTGTCTTTGTCATTTAACAGTCCAACCAGGCGAACAGTCCAGAGGTGTAGGGCGCTTCCTTTCCTGCTCCACCATTTTTTGTGATGTTGCTTTTTTCTTCATAGTGGAAGATGGCTCATCATCAGCCCTACATCCAAGCTTCAGACAATAGGAAGTGAAGCAGTGTACAGGCTAGGGGAAAGACAATGAAGGGGGCACTCCTATAAGCTTCAGGGTAAGTTAGTTTGTTGAACCCGATGCAAAGAAAAGACCACCAACTCCAATTTTAAACCAAATTAAAGCAAGCTTATATTGTATATACAAGTGAGCTGGCCAGCGACTGTCTCACCCAAAATTGCAGAGCCTGAGAACAGACCCCCAGTACTCCAGGAAAAAGGTTTTATAGCACAAAAAGTTACAAAGGAGGTTGTCTTGGGAATTTACAGCTAACAGGGTTCTGACAAGCATAATATAAAGGGAGATAGCAAGTTAATTATCTACATGGCTTAACATTTCAAGGTAGGGATTAAATTGAGATTCCAACATCAGAATTTATGAGGGGCTGCTAAAGTTTTAGGGAGGGTTGTTATCTGGTCAAGGAGAGCTAGGCATGGGTGAGTTTAGAGCATGGGCAGGAATTCCGAACAAGATTAGCCCCCAGAGTATGGTCAGTCCAAATAGCAATCTAATTTTTCAGAACTTTGTGCCGTGATGGCTCCCAATCTTAGGATAGATTTAGGTTGGGCTCATCAAATTGACTTTCAGGGGTGAGGAAGGGAGGAATAAGACATACATTAGGGGAAATGGGTCATATCTAGATATCTGGAATCACATTTGGAACTGTTAAGACTACATTCCATCTGACATATTTTTTCCTGAGAAGTCTTTCTCACGGTCTTTAGTAACTGGGGACTTGGTTCTCTGGATCTCCTTATGATATGCTATTTGGTTCAGTAAATAATATTTTTATTTCTTCTATGTATCATGCTTAATACGAACCACTAGTATGAGATAATTATCCTGATAGCACTGGTAGCATTCAGTACACAGGCATTATCATATATTACAGACTGAAAAGTCTTAACTCAGTCTAATGATTCTTTACATTTATATGGTACTTTAAAGATTTTTCAAATTCTTTCAAAAGATTTAATCTCATCACTCTTTAAAGTATCATCTTCAAACAGGTTTAGAAGTTACTTGAGATCACATGGTAGAGTTGGGACTCAAATCCATGTTTTTGGAATCCTCATCCACTGTTCTTTTTCCAAATCAAAAACCATTTCTGGGGCTGGGTTTGTGTCTCAGTGGTAAAACGCTTGCGCAGCACATGTGGAACACTGGGTTTGATCCCCGGCACCACATAAAAAGTTAAGCAAAATAAAGGTATTGTATCCATCTACAACTAAAGATATTTAAAAAACAAAACAAAAAAACTTCTAAACTATTCCAGTTAAGTCTCAAAAGTCTGTCTCTCCAGGTTGCAGGAATCAGGCCAGTCTCACAGTACCAGAATATCACCCATATCACTTACAAATATTACTGTAATGTTAATATTAGTACATTTTTACTTACTATACTGTAAAGTGTTAAGTTTATAATGAAATCTAGCGGCTACTACTTTAACCAACGGATCAAACTTAATTTTATTAAAAGTGGGACAACTTGATATTATACACCTTCTGACATGAAGTGAAGCAATATGAAGTGAATAATATCATTTGAAGTATTTTTTTTTTCCCCTAAAAAATGTTTCACTTGAATCAAGTCTTTAGATTCTAACATCTAGACTTAGCGTACAGTTCACTGGGAATATAGAGAAACAAGTTAAATGACTCTATGAAATAAAAAAATCAAATACTGAAAACAGAACATTTTACAAGGCTTCTAGCTTCTATCCTAAAAGAGTCAATATCAGAGGGGGGGGGGGGGGGAAATGACCCTTGGTTGGATTCTGGTTAAACACACACGGCATACTTTAAGTCAGTATATTTTTTTGTTTGCTGGTATAATTTTCTTAGGTGTAATAAGGACATTGTAGTTTTATAGGATATTGTCCCCCTCCCCATTTACTTATTATTATGCGGTTTGGGGAATTGAATCCAGGACCTTGTACATGCTAAGAGCTCAGGATATCACTCTTATTCTGTGAAAATGAATATTATAGTATCTAAGTGTAAAATGTTATGAGGAAAAGTATAAGTTCTGAACTGTTATGATGCCTGCAACTTAGTTTCCAAAGGTTCAACACAACAACTTTGAAAATGCAAGCAAATACACATACAGGTGGGTAGAGTGAACGATCAGAAATGGCAACATGTTAAGAATTGTTTGATCTAGGTGGAGGGTATACAGGTGTTCACCGAATTGTTCTTTTAACTTTTTCTACTGCACTAAAATTATCATCATAAAACGTTGAAAGGGAAGAAACCAGCCCATCCTTACTTAGCAAAGCCGCGGGGAGCTAGCTGCACCAGTAGAGTCCCCAGGCGCCGCGCGCGGCTCCCTCCGGGCCCGGTCTGGGCATGCTCTGAGGCCCGCCGCGCCCGCCCCGCCCCTCGGGCGTACGTGTGCGCACAGGGCGCCTGCGCGCGGGTTCCGGCAGCCCGCGAGACGCTGTCTGCGGGACTTGGTAGACGGCTGAGGTGCGGGAGCTGCGGGAGGATGGAGCCACTGAAGATGGAAAAGTTCACGACTGCCGACCGGGGAAACGGGCTGCGCGCAGTGGCCCCGCTACGCCCCGGGGAGCTGCTCTTTCGCTCGGATCCTTTGGCGTACACGGTGTGCAAGGGGAGTCGTGGCGTAGTCTGCGACCGCTGCCTCCTCGGGTACGTATGGAGCGCCTTTGCCCACCTTAGTCCCGAGCGGTGCGGGGGTCCAGAGTGCTGGGAGCGTGGTGTGGACAGTCCTCGGAGAACTCCGCCTGCACTTGGCTGTACAGCAGCTCGGCGGTTCTGCGGAGATCACGGGGCCCTCCACTCCCCACGGCACGCGTGTTCCTGGGGGCAGGTCGCCCCTGACAGGCCCCGCCGAGACGACCCCTCTGCTCTCCAGCCAAGTGGATTGAGGAATCCCAGCCCCTGCTGCTCTATATGGCGAACGAAGCAGGACCGGTTACCCAGGCTACTCCTTCCTCCCCAGTGTTGCAGGCTTGAGGGGAAGCGTTGGCTGTGGGTAATTTTGCTAGGGAACAAAAAGTCTATGTCGTGTGCGACAAGCTTCTTTGGTGTGGCTGTGGAAATCTTAAGTGGCAGGGGTGGGCGTGAAGGAGCAGGGATGTGCATAAAGCAGGCTCAGAGCTGAGGCCCTGCTGGCAAAGAACTAGGCTTGAAGAAGGCAGAAGAATCTCAGTGTTTACGGTGCACTTTTATGGTCCAGGTTTTGTGTGGCTCGGGGATATGGATATTAATGGAATATCCTTAAGAATTCCTAGGGGGCAGGTCGAGTGATAGAGTTACAGTGTATCAGAAGGGATGACAAAGGGGTGCAAATAAAGTGTTGTGGTAGCCTACATAACTGAGATTCCTCAGTGTGCTTTTCCAGTTAGTGACTGCAGGCAAGTCTAACTCTTCAACACTTATCTAGTTGTGAGAATCCATGTGGCAGTGTTTTGGAAGCCTGGAAGCACAGTGCCAGTTTAAAGTTCTATGAGAAATCAACTTCTGGAAATATATATGTACTATACCTTTAGTACATAAGAATTGCATTCAGTTAAATAGTATTGAACTCCTTCCATGCACAAAGCAGAAAAGCTCTTTTTGTGATGGTTCAGATGATTTTAAGCATTCCTGCTCTTGCAGACCATCAGTCTGGGGTTGGGATGAATGAAGGCAGGGAGGTAATCAGTAGCTTTACCATTAATCTTATTATGTTCTTATTTGGTTCATATTTGCATTTTAAAGTTACCAAATAATTGTATCTGTTGCTTTCTGAAGTAATGCTGACAACACATACACCTGTTAAGGAGAGAGCACCTTGAAGTTTTTGTAAACTGTGGGATTGAAAGCAATTCGTTCTTTCAAGACTTGACTTTTTTTTTTTTTTTATGGAAGGCCTCAGCATTTAAAGTCATACATCTTTGATTCTTATTCAGGCAAATTATAGAAAGCAGGACTCTTAAACCATTGCATCCTTTGGCATGTATCCTGAATTTGAATATAGTCCAAAGCAGAGAACTTACTGTTTAGGTCCTTTAATATTAATTGATGGAGAACACATGATTTAGTTCTTGGAACAAAAAAGTTTTGGAATGAATAAATGGTGACAAAGTAGTAACTGAATTATCAGAACTGAACTTGTTATTCTATGTCATTCCTGCTGTCCATTGCTCATTTTTCTTGCAACAACTGTGGTGATTTAAGCACAAAAGAAATTTCTTTAAAGTGTATTGGGAAGCCTTAAATATTGCTTTACTATCTGGAGAAACCTGGGTTTGAAAGTGGGTAGGAACTATGTGAAAATTGCACTGTAAGAGTAGTTGGGTTAGGGTCTGGAAGTATATCACTTAGGTTGCCTGGTAAAAATGATTCTGCAGCATGTACCACCAGCATCATGGAAACTGGACCTTGCTGCTGCTTTTTGGGATACTTATTGTTGCTGTAGAGTTGCTCTTTCAACCATTCTTCTTTGTGTTATTAATTTCTGATTCAAAATCCTTAGTGGTTCTCTTGGATTGGCTGAGTTTAGGCCACTCACTGCCTGTACACCACCTGCAAGAGAATTTGAGAAGGTGAGTATTTGATCTTTTTGGCTTTAAGATAGGAAGCAGGCTCTACTTTCCACAAATATTCATCCAATGGGGAAATCAACAAGTATAAACATAGAAAAAATGATGAAGGCTAATGCCAAGAATCCAAATAAAACAGACTGAACAGTTGGATACTTCATGTTTACTAACAGATACTTGCTTATTAGTTCTTTGCACAAAAAATTTATTTGTGCTTATTTTGTGTTGCCAGGATATCTATCTGTGTATCTGTCTACCCATCCATCTATCCTGGTGGCCACGTATACCATAGTTCACTTGTGTTGCAGTGGGCACTTCATTGAACACTTCCTCTTCAGTGGTTGTAGTGTTCTCAAGTGCATAGTTGGGATTCATGTCAGCCTGCAAATATTGCTGGGGAAATGTTGGTGCATCATTTTGTCAAGTTTTCCACCACTTTTGAATGCCCATCATTGGGGGTTAAGTATCTTTGTTTTTTCTCTTGTAAGTAAAATTGTTTCTCTTTATTGACTATCAATTATGATAGTGAATTTGAGAACAGATATTTCATTTTTCAATTATTGTAGGCCTAACAGGTAGCATGCAGTGTGCTCTTAGACCGTAGTATAAATATCTAGCAGAAATTTTCTGCTAACTGAACCAGCTCTTCTGCTGTTGTTTTGTATGTAAATTAAGTAATGGAATAAAAATGTTATATACTTTGTAACAACATGGGAAGGGGAACCAAGTAGAACAAACAAACAAACAAGAAAAACATTTGTTTTAATTACTTCATTAGTCTCTGAAAATGGTTGTTACAGTGTTATACATACTTCCCTTGGCCCTAGGGCTGTTTTGATTGGTGCTTTAGTTCTACATATTTATTTTTGTTAATTGAGAAACTTGAACTTGCTTCATTGCTTCTCTTTCTCTTTTCTTCTCACTAAGGAATGGTTTCTGTTTTTTCATGTTGTGAGTGGAGAAGAAAATGAAGTAAGTCAGAGGAAGGCTACTTGACAATGACATTGTGACCTGAAATCATTCATATCATCCTTCCATCACACACATTTTTTAGTTTGATAGAGATAGAGAAGATCATTTGACAAATGAGTTAGGCATATTTTCTCTTTGTTTTGGTAAACACAACACATAAAATTTCATTGTTATTATTATGTTTGTAGGTCTCCTTACCCACAGAGTAGTAATCTAAATGTAATCTTTGTCCTTCGTATATAAAGTACACTGTAAATGCTAATTGTTGAATTTTTAAAAATTTTTATTTAAGGTGTTTTTTTTTTTTTTTTTTTTTTTTTGTACCAGGGGCACTTAACCATAGATTCACATCCCCAACCCTTTTTATTTTGAGACAGGGTGTCACTAAGTTGCTTAGGGTCTTGCTAAGTTGCTGAGGCTGGCTTTGAACTTGTGATCCTTCTGCCTCAGCCTTCCTAGCTCCTGGAATTACAGGCTAATTGTTGAATTTTTGAAATGACAATGTTTTGGGTAAGTTTAAGTCAATATGTTTATCTTTGGTTTTCCAAAGTTCCAAGTTGCCTATAGCTTCCATATAAAAGCTACCACTAGCACACTCTAATGATAGTTTCTTCTATCACATCCATCATTAAGCCTGATGTTGAGGCCTCGTAACTCCCAGGAGGAAGGAGGATGGCTTGGAAGTGGAAAGTCCATCCTTTTCAGCCCTGGTGAATTGTGGAAAAAAGGGGCATAGAGTAGGGAAAGCAAATTGTGAGAGTTACACATTCTGAACTTTCTTGTCTGGCTAAAGTTCTGGGGATACAGAGGGAGTGCTAAGTGGACTCAGGGGACAGTTACCAGTACAGGAGATTTGGTTCTGCTCCCCGCCTTTTTTTTTTTCTGTGTGTGTGTGTGTGTGTGTGGTGGTACTAGGGAGTGAACCATGGACACCAGGGATGGAAGCCAGCATGACATCCCAAAAGATGAGATGGTACCAGTTCAGTGACAGGAGTTGACTACCTTCTTGCAGGAGAGACCTGTGAGGATCTAGAGACATGCCCCACATGTAAGGCCTTCTCACCATCAAGAATTACTGATAAGACCCTGGAGAAAAATTTACCTGAGAGCAGCCATTTAAATCAGTCCTGATAAGGAGTTTAACTTAGTCTGAATATTAACTGGAAGAGATTGAGGTATTATTTGACAAGTTTCAAGTTTCCTGGCTCTTTTTTAGGGTAGATGTTAATGAAGAATTTTAGATTAGTTATCAAATGAACAGCACATGTAAAGGAGACAGATTAGATCAATTATAGAAAATAAAGTAGCTACATTTGAGTTTCAGTGTGAATAAATGTGAACAGGCAGTAAAGGAACTTAGGTTTAGTAAGATGATGGAGTCTGTCCTGGCTAAGGACTGAGCCTGGGGTATAAGCAGGAGGAAATAGCTTCATGTCATAGGTAAGAAGAAATTCCAGAGAAGCCAACAGCAATGGTGTAAGGTTTGAGACAACCAGGGAAGTGGTTGCTAAGTAATTTGGCCTTAGAAGATTTGCAATAATCTTCTAGGAGAGAAGAGTAAATTTCTTAGTGAAATATAGGGTTATTGGGAAGTCCTGAGGGTCCATTTAAAACTTGTAATCATTTATTTAAAGTAAGGAATGCTTATGAGGGTATTGCTTTTTAAATATTCTCTCCCAGTGGCTAATTTCTTGGCTCTGAGAATTGGGTTTACCCAGGATTGTCAGTTAGTGTGATGGATGAAGAGGGAGTAGTTGTTGGAAGTTGTAGGTAAGGGAGGATATAATCATGGATCATGGTTTCTAAATTTAGGGAATGGGGTCCTGAGGAGGGTGATAGTGAAATGTGGTAGAATCATTGGATTACAGGTTCTGATGTGGTCAAAGATCAGGTGGAATGGTCAAAATTGGCTGAAAAAAAAAATATATACACACACACACACACACACACATACACTTATAAGTAGGACATGTATTGGTATATTAAAGAATGGCTGAGATCTGGAATAAGAAAAGCCTGGCATGGTATTGCATTCCTATAATCTCAGAATCTGAGAGGCTAAGGTAATAGATGAACTTTCTTCAAATGAAGTTATCAAGAAAGTTAGGCATTGGGGTGAATAGTTCAGCA